ACTGTTTCATTGTGCAACATAGTTTGAGTCCCAGCTTTTGGCATAGCCCCTTCCTTTCCTGTTGACCGTGTTAAAAAAAAATCAGATGTGGGTCTTTGAAAGTGTTTTAAATCTGGCCAGCTGGCACAGCCATTTTTCCTTTCCAATTAGCCTGGGTAACCAAGCTTCCTCCATCACACTGGAGAGGCAAGATTTATTATTGGTGTTCCAATTCCTTCTGGGACATACTTAATTCCTTTCTGTTTACTCCCTTCTTCTGCACTGGAAGCAGGAGCATGAAAATACTGTTTTGCATACCTTGTTGGCTTTCTTTACAACTTGAATGGAGATAGCACATCTGGAGAGTTGTCCTTTCAACATACTGCTGTTAGATACTGAAAACAAGCATCTGAAGATTGTAAGCATGAGTCTACAGATTCGGAAAGTTAGCTGAAACCAGCAGAGGAAGTTGTTATTCAGATGTTACCTTACTACTCAGACAAAAACAAGCTTTGAAGAAGTTGTGCTGGAAGATGTGAGGTGACTAGTCTGGATGGCTGATACTTTCCTGAATGCAGAGGCTGTTTCCCTGCTGGAAGAGCTGGAGGGTGGCCAGAGAAGGATGGACGGGCTGCACCGAAACAGCTGCCAGTATTTTGGCATACAGTGTCAGACCGGAGCCCTAGGCTTCTTTGGAGACTACACAAGGAGAAGGATATGGCAGAATGGCAGAAGAACTGGTATCAGACCAGCAGATAAGATGCAGACCCCTATCTGCAAAGCGTTAAACAAGAATTGCCTTGTCTGTGTGTGATGTCATTTCTTTAATAGCAGTTTTTGTGGACTAAAGGTGAGCTTTTGCAATGAAAGCTTTGCTTGAGTTGCCTGAACATGAAAGAACCTTTTGTCCCCAAATCATTTATAGAATTTGCTCAGTGTCTGAGCTGCAGTTCTGACAGGAGTAGGTGTAGGCGTAATCTTGCTGAATCACTGAGAAAGTTTATTCAAACTTTAGACCACATTTGGTATGATGAAGCATGATTCGTATAGATCCTTGGGTGGAATAGTTTCTAAAAGATAGCAAAAGCTGCCAGTCTTAAAAAAATGGGTTTTAATTGTAGCACAGAATTATTAATTAGAATATGTTAACTCTTCAGCCAAGGAAAACTCAGAGTTGCTGATGAAACAGAGGAAATACAAGACCTGAAAAAAAACTCTTATTGAGTCCTTGCAGGGCAGATGTTTCTCTAGCCTTCCTCTAGAAAGCCTTTCTTGTTCAACAACTTCCTGTGGCTTCCGCCATTGAAACCTTAGGGAGTCCTCTAGAAAGTCTTCTTCCTGACACTTTGATGCTTGATTGACAATTGACTCTTTAGAAGGCACTTATGCCGCACTAGAGTAATATCCTGCTTGTTTGTGCTCTCTCCCTGCTCTTTCCATCCTTTCTGCCTAAAGGTTTCTTCTGCTGCACTTGTCCGTGGCTCTCACTGAGATGGTTCCACTTGATGCAGAGTGCAGCATCTGGAGAAAAATAGGTAGTTTTCCTTTCTTGCCTTCCAGTCACACCTTAAGAAGCAACATTCTGAATCCTGAGACTGTAAAGTGCAGACAAACAAGTTACCTAGTTACCGGACCCCAACTGAATATATAGGGCAGTTCTCTATAGGAAGGCCCTGGTCCATCCAAGAGTGGCGAGGTCCAGTTAGCACATCTGTTGAATCTTGGCAGGATTTAGAGCTTGCACATGGCTAAGCTATGCTGAATATGGTGGTGCAAGTGCTACTGAATACACTTATGAGGCTATCATTGGGAGGACAGGCATTTTAAGGTGTGCCTTGGTGGTTTAGAGGCTTTACTACATCAAGATTGAAAAAAGAAATGGCTCCCTCAGCTTTACTGATAACAGTAGGGTCTTAATAAAAATCAAAGAGTATATTTTGTAATATTTCTTACTATAAGTGGCTGAAAACATTCAGAAGTGATATTTTTTGCCAAAGTGACTGAAAACATTCAGTGATATTTTCTGCCATTTTCTTCAAAATTATATAACGCAAATAAAAGGGGAAAGTAATGTTAGGGTAAAAAACAAGCATATATTGTGTAACCTTTTTTAATATCATGCAGAAAGAGTTTTACAACAGTAAAATAAATAAATAAATAGATAAATCTCCAAGAGGACTGGAAAAGTAGCCTAGTCTAAAGATGTGAATTTTAAGTTCTTCTTCCAATGCTGTGAATTATGCCTTCAATGTGCTAAACAGTCAGCATTACATGCCTCATACTGCTGAAGTTTCAGTGATAAATAATAACTTATGATCTTGTGAATTACATGGTAAAACTTTGTTATGCGTTACATATACTCAGAAAAGGGTATGTTTTTCAGAATTATCTTCTAGTTTCCTTTAAAAACATGGAAAGGTTTGTCTCTTTGAACAGCAGTGCCATCCTCATTGTCAGAATGTTTTTGTGATGGGTAGGTGTAGTAATCCATGTTTGAAGGCTACTGGTGTTTCAAAATCCATCAAACTAAATAAAAGAATGGAGTATATCGTTGAAGTTGTATGCTGAAAATTATCTGAAAGGATGCTAGGTAAAGAATTCATATTCCATTTTCAGATTTCTCAAAACTTTGAAAATTATTTAAGTAAGTGCATTAATTGTAGAAAGCATTTAATTCATCAGTGGTATATTTTTCATATTTGCCAAAATCAACCAGCTGCAGCTTCAGTTTTTGTTTTTGCAACATATTTAATCCATATTCACATGTGCAAATGTGCTGGCGTTAGTGTGAAAGCAATGATTCTGAAGCAAAAGAAATAAACCCTGAAATTACTAAGAATTAGACATATTTGAAATCTCTCAACAAATGATACTTTTTTTGATAGCTAGGAATTTGGGCCTTGTCCCACAAAAGGACAAACCAAGGCCCAACTTTCTTCTAATTGATGGACCTTCTCAGAACATCTGCATTGGATTGTGGAAGAGGAACAGGGAGCAAAGCAGTCCTTTGTGCAGAAGTCCAGCATTTAAGGAATTCACATGAAACACTGTGGAGAAAGGAAATCTAGTACATGCTTCAGTTAACCATGAGCCGGCAATATGCCCTTGTGGCCAAGAAGATCAATGGTCTCCTGGGCTGCATGAGGCAGAGTGTTGCCAGCAGGTCAAGGGAGGTGATCCTCCCCCTCTCCTCAGCCCTGGTGAGGCCTCACCTGGAGTCCTGTGTCCAGTTCTGGGCTCCCCAGGACAAGAGAGACATGGCACTCCTGGAGAGAGTCCAGCGGAGGGCTACCAAGATGATTAGAGGGCTGGAGCCTCTCTCCTAGAAGAAAGACTGCAAGAGCTGGGCCTGTTCAGCCTGGAG